TTCTTGTCTTGCAGAGAGAGAGAGAGAGAGAGAGAGAGAGAGAGAGAGAGAGAGACGGGATTTTTGTTTATGTGCCGGTTAAATTTGATTTTTTTTTTGTTGCAACCGGATCGATTGGGCTTACTCCTCACATTTCCTCGTTTCGTATGAAGTTTGGCAAAGTCAGTAGTCCTTGTTATTTAATGTTGGATTTGATATCACTATCCTTTGATTTTCGCATTGCAATTATCGTGTGGTATTGAGTTGTGAGTTTGTGACTTTGTGTGCATGTTATGTATGGTGATTCTTCTCACTTACTTTCAAGATTCTCTCTTCGTTTGATCTTTTTGTTAAGTGTTTGAACAGCTTGCTCGAATCATCAAGATCATTAGTCCATGTTGCGTTATCTATGCATGGTGATTGCCCAGAAAGGGGGAGAAAAGAACAGTAACGATGGCATGAACACAGGGGGAGTTCTGACAACTGTTGCTACAGTGCATCAGACAGTTGATGGGCAGAAATATAGGACAAATAATAAGCATTGTGCAGAGAAGTTGTTTCTGCTACTGCATATCCTTTTATCTCGTGCTTATCTGAACGAATTATCTGCCTTTATTTGGAACTATGGTTTATTTACGGTTTACACTATCTGCTGAACTGTTTGATAAACTGTTGCAACAGTTTATATGTGCAGATGTTATTCTGAATTTGCTAACCCTTGTTCATGCAGGTATCATATATTTAGGAGGAGTAAATATTCTGACCAATCAATGCCAAAGGGGGAGAGTGTTAGAATTTCGGTGGGATTCTAAGTCCACAACACCAAGTGGAATTCTATGGAGATGTTCATTGTCATTAATTAGTTTAGGTCTTTACAAGAATATAAAAGGAGGAGTTATAATGCCGACGTTATTTGCTGAGTCTTTTATCACGTGGGTGATTTACCACGTCGCCCTCCAAGTCTACAAAGCCAAGTAAGCAAAGGGGAAGAATGAAGTCATTTACAAGGGGAGCTGCCTAAGGATCATTCACAGTGGAAGATACACATGCAGGGGGAGCTGACTCCGTTGTGAACTACCTGCCGAAGCCTCTACTGTGGGAACAGTTGTTGAAACTGTGGCACTTTCTATTGCAGCAGTTGATGCCACTCTCGTTGTTGGCTGTTCCTTTAATGCTAGGATGATCCTTAGTTTTATTGTTTCCGTCTATCATCTAATTGTTTTACTTTCAGGTATTTGACTAAGGGGGAGGACTTGATTATAATAAATAGATGACAAAGGGGGAGATTGTTAGAATCCGAGAGGATTCTAATTTTGATTTTTCAGCACGTGTGTGAAAAACGTGTGTCTAAAGCTAGGGAAGTTTCCTTAATGCTTTAAACTCTTATTTTGTCATTAATTTATTTAATTGCATAAGTGATGTGTTAAGAAGGAATTTCCTTGACAAAGACTTTCCTTGTTACACAATTCTTATTCCCTTACGTAAAGATTGAATATTAACCTAATGGACTTTAATCTTTTGTAGGGCTCTTTTATTCAACATAGAATATATAGCAGCACAGCACTGCGTTTCATCGTGCGTTTTTTGTTGGAGCGAAGCCGATCTCTCTCTTATTGGTTGCTGTTGCACGCCTTTTGTTGGAGAAGAAAACTTATATTTTTCTGCTCTTATTTTTGCTGCTCCCGGAGCGTTTTTTTCATCGAGAAAAGATTTCAGAGAAATATTTTTTTTCCTCTCGTTTTTATTGCTCCATCGTGATACGTGATTTTCATAGAAAATATACCGGCTTCAAGGCTTTGTGGTGAAGACACCAAGATTCAAGGAGTATCACAAGTTTGCTTCTTCTATACAAAAAGAAGATCGGTTCTTCGGGAGAGGGGCTTAAACAGATCTCGGGAGGAGATCGATCAGCCGACTGAGGGATTCAGCGTTGAAGGGAGTTCAACCGTGCAGAGCAAGGGACGTGCTGCAAATTGAAGATTTGTAATTCAGCGTAGTATACAAGAACGGCGTCAACAAAGAGGGAGTCTTTGTATTTTGATTAAGTCCTATTATTGTATTCGTAAAACTAAAAATTAGTAAATTTTATTTGCAGGTCCCCGTGGATGTAGGGTACAATTGTATCTGAACCACATTAAAATTTGTGTCTCGTTTATTTCTGTTTTTACGAACTGCTTCACGAACTGTTGCAACACTTCACGCAACAGTAACGAAAAACTGAATCTGACACAAATAATTTATATCTGCACGAAATAAATTCTAACAATATATATATATATATATATATATATATATATATATATATATATATATATATATATATATATATATATATATATATATATATATATATATATATATATCTATCCTATTTTGCAGTCACTTTTTTTTCTAATTACTTCACACCAAATCACATCTAGCATAATCCTGGTTCGCAACACTATATTTTATAATTGTTATTATTATTTTAATTTCTAGTCTATTTTTTTTTCTGATTCTTCTTTGTTTCATTTATTTAATGATCAATTTCATATTATGACAATGAAGTTTATATTTTTTTTTCAAATTAGTTTGTATTATTAAAATTTTATAAATATTACTGTTGTTATCGATATCAGTAATAAATTTTATTATAATCGCTATTGTAATTTATTAAACTAATCATTATTTTCACTTTTGAAATGCTATCCCGTGCATCGCACGGGGAAAAAATGCTAGTATATATACACATGACGGAGCCAATATAGGTTGATGGCATAATTGTTTTCTTTTCAAATTAGAGGAAGAGTGCCCACATATTACCATAGCATACACTTAACCAACTACAACAAAAGAGAGAAGAGTAAAGAGAGGAATTTCCGACAGATTATTTAGATCAACTTTGAAAATAATTTTTCTTAAATCCTTCGTGCAAAAAAATTGAAAATGTAACCAAATACTCTCATATGGGTCCAAATCACCCCTTTAAAACTGTTTTAAAATATCAATATCCATTTGAGAGAAATTAGTAAACACATGCAACATTACAAATTGAAAATCCAGAATAGAGGAGGGAGCTTTGAAAATTCTTTATAATATCCCTACTGTTCTAAACACTACCAAATTTTATAACAAAGGATAAAATTGAATTATGAGTCTATTCCAAGTGAAATGGATCCATTGAGTAAGAAAAATTTCACATATTAATGCATGTCCTAAAATGACTCTGCATGTGCATGGTTATGGAAAATAATTTATAATAGATTCATTGCCTATTCAAATAATGCAAAAGCCATTCCAAAATGACCATAACAGAAAGACCTACGACTCCGTAACATTAAATGCAATTCCAAACAGAAGGTATATTTAATACGTACTATAAAACAACTGGGCTGAACAAAACGTATAATTAACCGATGAGCATTATATAGAAGTTTTGGGAAAAACGTGCCCATTGAGCCACATAAGTACTTATGGATTACCTTGACCCATAACAAAAGTAGGTAATCATAATTCTAATTATTATTAAATCTAATGTTCTTACTAATAAGGGCCCCCGAGGGGTGGAAGAGTACGATAATAGATGCCTAAGACGGTATCGAAAGTCTTTAAAATTAAACTATATAAGTAGAACCACATGGCTAGATTAAGAGCACACAATATCCACACGCCTTCCATATGAACACATCCCTTGATCCTCGAACCCGGCTCCAACTTTAGGACTTGTACTCGGGATTGAAAGTACCTACAGTCATTTCAACACCTATATGAGTCTCTTGGACTTAATGAGAATTTCCGAAGAATATCATACATATATATATATATATATATGGGTGTAAACGAGCCGAGCTCGAGTTTATTTAGTCGAGCTCGAGCTCCAGCTCGAGCTCGTCGAGCTCCTCTTTTTTTGGCTCGAGCTCAAGCTCGTGTCAATTTTGTCGAGCTCGAGCTCGAGCCCATTGTCTTTTTTTTTTTTTTTTTTTTTTAAATATTTTTTTAATTATTATTTTATTATTAAAAATTATTTATAAAAATAAAAAATAAAAACTAAATTGTAATTATATATATTTTTAATATTTGTATTTATTTCTATAATATTTTACATTATTATACATTATTTAAATAAAAATAACATATAAAAAATAAAAAAATAATAAAAAAATAATAATAAATCCGGCTCGCGAGCCGGCTCGCGAGCTCATGAACAACTGAAAACCGGCTCGAGCTCGGCTCGTCAGAAAGCTCGAGCTCGAGCACGAAAATCTCGAGTTCCAGTTCGAGCTTTTTACGAGCCGGCTCTTCGAGCTCACGAGTCGGCTCGGCTCGTTTACACATACATTCTAGCTCTTACTACATGCATCATCAAGAAGTTACTCTATAAATTACAAGAATGAGTATTAAAAACTCTTAATCTTATCTTGCATGTGAAGATCTAGAAAGAAAATGAAATAAATTGAAATTTGGTGATACTTTGAAAGAAAACTTCAAGTCTCTTGAGAAAGAGGGCTTGAACTTTAATTAATGAAACTTAGAGGTAGTAACTATATATAATAGAAAGCTTTGAGCTACTTTTGTTTCATGTGTAAAATATGTGATCTATGCTATTTGCTTGAGCTGTTATGTCTCTTACTTGATTTTGTGATTTTGTGAATACACTATGTGTCTTTGTGAAATATATGGAAATATGTGTACTAATATGCTTATGTGTAAGCTAACTTTGAATATGTGTAATTAAAAGTATATACTAACCTCACTTGCACGTTTTTAAAGTTGGAAAATCTTGTAAAACTTAGATCGAATAAGCACAGGGTATGAGAGGTTGTTACCCCAAAATGAGATGAAAAGTGTGTGGTTTGATTCCACTTCTGAAATGGGTTCCAAATAAATGAAGGTTTATTGTCTAATGTTTTGTTTGATTTTTCAAAGGATATATCCGAACAAAAATGTTTTTGTCACACACCTAGTGAACTTACTTGAAATGAATGTATGTGTAAAAGAATGACTCCCTTGTAAGGGATCTACTCTTATTCCTTATGAAATGATGAAAAGAAGGTCTAAGAGGTAAAATGAGAAGGTGTAAGAGGTAATCCGAGAAGTTAAAGGTAAATTGGTAAAGTTCCTTAATGAAATAACAATTGAGGTAAAATCAAAATGTTTATATTGTGTATATGTGTGAATTGACATGGTAAAGACACACACACACACACACACACACACACACATATATATATATATATATATATATATATATATATATATATATATATATATATATATATATATATATATATATATATGCTTGTTTGCCTATGTGTATTCGGTATTTCTTCGGAAATTCTCATTAAGTCCAAAAGACTCATTTAGGTGTTGAAATGCTTGTAGGTACTTTCAATCCCGAGCACGAGTCGTAAAGTTGGAGTCGAGTTCGATGATCGACGGATGTGTTCATATGGAAGGCGTGTGGATCATGTGTGCTTTGAATTTAGCCATGTGGTTCTACTTATATATAGTTTAATTTTAAAAACTTTTGATAGCGTCTTAGATATCTATTATCGTACTCTTCCACCCCTCCGGGGTTCTTATTAGTAAGAATATTAAATCCAATAATAATTAGGATTATGATTACCTATTCTGGCAAAAACTTCTACGCAATGCTCATCGGTTAGTTATATGTTGTGCTTTGCCCTGCTGTTTGATAATACGTATCAAATATACCTTATGTTTAGAATTGCATGTGATTTTACAGAGTCA